TTTGAGGGGAACTAACGCTTATTGAAATTAGATAAATATATAAAGTAGAAATTTGTTTTAATAAACGAATTACCAGCAAAATATTATCCCTTTATTAATGATTGTGCCCCTCTCTATTATAGATATTTAAGAGTCATAATTAAATGTTTTTTTAATTTTATTAAAAAGATTCTATAGATTTATTGGATTGTTGTATTTGGTGGAATAAAAAAGCCTTTGAAATTACAGAAAGAAATGAATTTGATTTTTAATTTGAATCAAGAAAGAGCTTAGAAAGAGTTCAATTCACTAAATTTAATCAAAGGAAATATTTAGATTGTGTAAGCCAGTATTACTTAAGGTTATGGAAAAATAATGAATAAATAAGAAACACAATTATCTAAATTTTTTGGCTTTAACTTTGAAGAGTTTAAATCAATTAATCATATAAAGGAGCTAATGCCATCATATGTAGCAAAAATTCATGATGAGATTGTTAAAGATTTTATTAAGAGAGGACATAGCATACTTCTTGAAGAGAGTCATTAAGTATTTTGTCTGGATAAATAAGGTTTTTTTGTTCCTATCACTTTGTAGTTATCGCTTGTTTATGGAATAACTGACGATTTATAAATGAATGCTGTCCTTTTAAAATTAAAATCAGATGTATCTTATATTATATTATAATCAGGTTTTGAAATTAAATAAATGTTTGGAAGATAAATTTAAATTATTTATTATTCATTCTTACAATTAATTTTTATTTTATTAGATTTTTTAATTGTTTTTAATATATTAAAAGGTAGTTAAGAATACAATAAAATAAATAAGTAAGAAGAATATTTTACATATTTTTTAATTATAGTTTTGTTTTATGAACATTTTTGACTAAAATTTAGAACTTGATTATAAAATTTGAATATCATAACTTACTTGAAAGCTTTCAACTTTTTTAGTATTATTATAAAACTTTGGTTAAATAAATACATGATTTATACATAATGATTTCAAAATTAATGAAAAATCTAATTGTAAGTAATAGACATGGTAATTTATATTTAATATAATTCATAGTATAAGATAATATTTATCATATAATAAAAAAATATAACTAAAGTGTGCAAAATTTTAAATAATTAATAAATAATCTATTGATAATGTTTCAACTTAA